TCAAAGGGACCCCAGCGAAAAAAAAAGGACCAAAAAAAACAAAAAGGACCGAAAAAATATGCACTCCCTTTAGAACCTTGGAAACTCTGGTGGCTGACCTGAGGCACTCGCATCTGATGCAAGTCCTGGACTATCGTGGACTGAGGTTCCTCAGTGAAAGGCGCTCGGCTCGAGGGTTTGCAGCTTCCGCAGTGGCCAAAGGCAGCCATGGATCTGCATCAAGCAGCCGCAGTGAGCCAGGCTGCTCGTGCAACCTGGAACTAAAGGTAGAACGGCGTGAGTGAGAGCAAGACTTCCGACTCCTTTCTACACACCCTTTAAGAAACAATGTCAACACCGACATCCAATCGATGTCTACCTTGCCTGGCAACTTCAAAGGATTCAACCAAGGCTGACCATTCTGCGACTCTTCTTCGCCACAGAACCATGCGTCAAACCAACAACCAGACGGGCTGTGCTGTTGCCGCCTACTGTCGACAGCATATGGACATCACTCGTTGCTGGCCAAACCGTGGTCTCTAGATTCTCAATGTCGGCAAAATTATTGCAACAATTGGGCCTGCACGCTGCAGGTTCTTAAGGTGGGACACCGACACTAAGTACTAACTTTCTGAACACATGATTGGACCGTTTCACTTTGCAGCGGTTCATACAATCTGTTTGGGTCCGTGACCCCTCAGCAGCGGGATTCACAATCCTCTGCCAAGAGCCGGGGAGTCCTGCGTTTTCTAGATGGCCTTGCTGTCCCGAGAATGTAGAACAAACACAAAAGCACTTCTTCTCAAGAAAAGGACGACAAATAGGTGGCGGCCAGCTGTTTCGACAACACAACACAAGATAAGAGTATCACGTTGCTTGAACAAGCCGTTCGCAACTCGAGAGCCAATTCACGCGATGCCATTCCTGACATAGATGACAATGGTCAGATCTGCTTCTGTTTCTCGTGCGGCCTGGGGCCTATGAGCGATCAGTCACTCCACCGCTACCGTAAAGCTAGTTCTGATGACTTCTCGAACGCGACATCCACTGAGCACGCACAGCCAACTTCGAACTACAGTACGACCCAGTAGTAAGCCAAAGTGTTCGCTGCCACATGGAGCCGCAGAGGGGAGGCTGCACTTCCACATGACTCTTGACCGCCCTATGTCATGGGTCCCTCCTGGAGGCCACCAATCCATACTCATGATTGGTCGGCTGTGTTGATCAGCATCTGTCGTGCCGGTGCAGCGAAGATGGATGCTTGAGTTCTGCTATCGGAGAATCGAATCTGCGGAGGTCCGTGACGTGCCGTGCATGGAGCGCGAATGCCATGGAAAAATCTCACACTTGCGGTACTTTTCGGCAGTTACAAAGCGGACTGCAGCTTCAGCCGGTCGATGCGTAGGTTGTGAGTGCAAGGACAACGGGCAACATACGAGGGACCTTGGGAAGCCTCCGGGGGGACGCAGGGGGATGCGAACGCGAGAGGCCGAGCTGGACGCATCTGGACACGAGGGACGGGCCACGCGGAGCAGTACGCGGGGCACGCGGGCATGACGTGAACAAAGTGGGTCGAGATGCAAGGGACACGCAGGACGCAAGGGAGACGTCGGACGGTGGACACGAGGGCTGCATACTTTCCACTCAACAAAGACTACACCATGGACATCATCATGGCCGGGCCATGGACCTTCTCCACTCAAGTCGGAAACAACATAATACACACTCATAGATGTCGTCATGGTTGAACGATGTATTCTCCGCACTCCATACATATTTATCCGTGGACGTCATCATGCTTGAGCCGCGGATGCTCTCCACTCAAAGCGGATTAAACCATGGACGTCATGATGGTGGGGCCGGGCCGGGCAGGCTGTCCACTCCACGCGTAATCGACCATGGACGTCATCATAGCTGATCATGGCTGGGTCACGGATGCATCGGATGCGTTCACATGCCTTCCACTCAATATGGATGAGACCATGGACGTCATCAGGGTTGGGCCACGGATGCTTTCTACTCAGAAGGGATGAAACCATGGACGTCATCATGGTTGGGCCATGCATGCTATCCACCCAGAACTTGGACCGTACAGGTCACGATGATTGGGCCATAGATCATAGATGCTGTATGATGCTGTCCACTCAAAACATCTCTAACCCAATTAGACAACGGGCATCATCATAGATGGACAGTGGACTTCTCAAGCGGATGAGATCATGGACGTCATCATGGTTGGGCCACGAACGCTGTGCACTCAACACGTGGATTGGACCATGGACGGCATCATGGTCGGACCATGGATGCTCTCCACTCACAACGGCTTAGATCATGGATGTCATCGTCATGATGGGTGGCTGCATGGGCGTCTGCGAGGGACGTGGGATGCGCAAGGGACAGAGATTACTCGAGGGACGCACATAGCGGGACGCGAGGGACGCGATGCAATGCGGAGGTACATGCAGGATCGAGGAGATGGACGCGTGTCGTGGGCTGTCACATGCCCTATTGTGGGACCACCGGGCTGCCCATTTCGGCCACCGAACCAAGCTCTCCAAATAGCCCCAGTGAGGACAAGCTGTAGCCAACATGAACTCGAGTGCCATCGCGAAATGGTTTCAAGCGTCTGCGGCCGAGCAGCTCCAAACTCAAGTCGCGAGGTAGTCTCGCAAAGCGGCTGAATACCGGAGTGAGTTCGAAGCAGTTCTCGAAGAGCGAAAACCTGCAAGCGCTCTGTTCAAGCCACTTTTTGGACCAACTCAAAGCGGCCGGGGATGCCTTCCAAACACGTAGAGCCCGAAGCGAGCTCTACTCATCGTGACGATGAGTCGTCTGACATCGCGGAGGTGGCCCACATGCGCTGTTCGCACCAACGAGACCTCGGCACAACCGACAGGTCGACAGTGGGCGGTCAGTGAATATGCACTATCAGCAGCGGTAAAAGCGTGGCACGGAACGAGGCTACATCGCTTGTCACTCAAGACCACCAATCAGGAGGGAACTCGCGGCTGCTACTCGCAACAGCAGCATCTGCTTCGTGGGTCTGAGAGGCGTCTGAGAGGCACATTGAACTTTGCCGAACACCACTTACCACAAACCTGCGGAAAGTTCTCGTTGTTTTTGTTTGCAATACAGTCTCAACGAAGTTGTGCCGTTGAGGCCATCCTGGAATGTTAAAACCGCCACCTTCGTACAGAAATACCTGGTTCGGTGTTGCACTGCTACCCAGCATGTGCTTTTCGCACACGCTCCGTTGGCCTCTGCAATTTCCCGGCTAGCGCTGTGCTCTGGAAGCCGGTTCCTGAACCGGCATACGGCTCAGTGAAGCGGAATGGTTTAATCCACATGTCATTGTCGACTGCTTTCGCGGTGCTTTCGAGTGTATGGCATTATCTGTATCTGCATCCCTCAACGTCGCCGTCAGAGTAAAAGTCGATTCCTATAGAAACCACGGAACAAAACGTTGTGGACTGATTGTGGGCTGTGCTGTGAAACATCGCACGGCAAAGCTCAAGCCAAATGTCTTTGCACAGTTGATTTCAAGTTGCTATGATGAAGTCATTCTGCTGTCCCTGGAACTTGTCCACCGTCGTAATTTTGGCCTCGGCAAGTCGCCGTTAAACTTTTGCCTGTCGACTAAAGCACATGCGAGCGGTGCATGCCGAAGGGCAGGCTCTCCAAACAGCGGATTCCATGAGCACCGTGTTCTGACCACATCTCTCAGCAAGGCCTTGGACAGGACGTAACAGGACTACTTCTGCACTCCCACATGCTACATTCACTTTGTGCCGACTCTGCCTTCTGGCCATTGTAGGTCGACAGGATGGAGATCTTGTGTGCGGGGATTCCACAAAGGCGCCTCGGGCTCGGGACAATCGACATTGCCTTTCACTATTTAGTCGCAGCTAAAGGCTGAGTCGCGTGCATGTACATAAAGAGCGCTACGCAATACTCAGCTTCTCCCAAATTCTGGTAGAAGTACGGCGTTGGTTGAGATTCTCCTCGGCCTTCGAAGTCTTCAACGTTGACGAACTGATACCTCGGCGAAGCAAGTGCAGCTCTCTAAAGCGCAAACCAGGCGCCGTGCCTGAAACGCGGCACTAGCTGCCACGAAAGCTATAGGCTGGAAGTTGGTCTGGCATGAAACAGCCTGGACTTGCACAAGACAATGCACCGGTGGCGAAGCAGGGCTCTGAAATAGTAGAATGTCCACTAATGACACTAATGTCTCCTTGCGGTTTGTGGGCAGGTTAGCTTCTGGTCACGCCCGCGTTCCACAGATAGGAAATCCTACGAATCTCTGTCAAGGGCAGCACCCCAGTCAGTTCGTTCGTTTGGGCGTTGCTTTCTCTATCTTTCTCTGCTGTATGCTGGCCAGTTTGCTGGCTTGGATCAACGACGAGCTCTGGCCGTGGTACGGCGCAGCCTTTGGACCTACATCGCTTTTTCTGCTGGCCACAATCCTGTGATGCTCGTGGACGCGTTGGGCCTAATTAATCCTTCTGTTCCAGCATGCGAGGAAGTTTAGTAGGCCATGACTGTACCATTACATGTGCGAGTGCTGGAATTTCAATAAATAGCTTGAAAATGCTTAAAACATCTACGTAGATCAAACATAGCACCGTCAGAATGCAGATTTATATCTCCTGTTGTCGAAAGTGTTTCCGATTCTGGCCTCAAGCTCGACATGCAATATCAGCTACGGTCACTCGCAAGCCGGACAGCAAATCATGTTAATGTATGCTCTCAGTACCATTCTATAACTTCGCCATGGCGCACGTAAGTTAGTCCCGGGTTTGCATACCGGTACCTGGTGGCTGGCCAGTTGCTGCACCCATTGTACACAGAAGCAAAGCTTTTCAAGCATGGATGCGCACCTGTCGTCCGTTAGGACATTCGGCAGATTGCCAAGATCTTTGTAGCGCCAACTGTAGAGCTCGGCGATGCTGGGCCTTCCAAGATGCCCCCGTCTAGGCCTCTCCCCACCGCTGAAAGCCAATGACAGATGATGTGCGCTGCCTCGCTCGACCCTGCAGATTGAGGTCTACCGTCGGTGTCTTCAGGCGCACGAATCGGGCATACAAAGACTGGTCCAGGTGCCCATACTTCCTGAGCTGCAGGTCTAGGGCAACAGGGGCCCGGTTTGCCTGCCCATGTACAACGACCTGCATCAGCAAGTGCATCAGTACGGTATGAAGATGCGGATGCAAAGGTTGGAGCCAATCGGCTGGAACGCCCGGTTCTTGACGACCGGAGGCAGCTGGTGGTGGTCCCCGATGAGCATCACCCTTTTCAACCTCTCCGCAAGGTGTGGTGCTCTGCTGCCACACTTGAGAGCCACGGGCTGGGACGAAAGCTCTAGCATGGGCAGGGCTGGCGACACGGAGCTCACA